CGGAAAAGCGCATTTCTCGAGATAGGGGATCTACAAAATCTTTTTTTTCGAGGTCAACCGCGGTTCAAAAAATTTTATCTTTACACAGATCGATAGAGAAAACTTCAGAGTACCTTTAGCAATGAAAAACTCAAAATCGAAAGTTTTTTAATTTCCACGTCCGGAAAGGGGGGGGTGGTGCCCTTAATATTGTTTTGAAAACAATATTAATATGGTGCTTCATTTGAACAGAGAAAAAAATTATGTTTCAAAATTTGACTCAAATTTTGAAACATTGTTATAACTTTAGATTGTGGATCTATAAACTATTTCGTTTTTAAACTACGGAGTACGACATGTTAACATATCGATATATTTAGGTAATATATATAGCAGAGGTGAGCGAGCTACCTAATCGGCTCGTAGACTCGTGCTAGCGGGTTGGCTCGACCAGGCACGAGTCGAGCCGCGAGCAGACTTTCTGAAATAATATATTAAAAACGACAGTGGTAGAAATCATATATTTCTGAAAATAAGATGAGTAAACGAAACGCTTATAACTTCGGAACGAAAAGACCTAGAGACCTGCGATTTTCACCATTGGAAAGAGCAGCTCGTGGAACGATTATCCATGTAGAAAGTAGATTTTTTCGAAGAGCTTTTTCCGGCATTTCTCGTCCGGTAAAACCTGTAGTACCTCAAAATTAGTCGACAAAACATTTTTTTCAAGTGGGTCATAGATTATTGACTACCCTGATTCCGAATGTCACTATGCCAGCCCCTCTTAGGTTTTCAGAGAGCGGTTTTCTAGAAAACTATTTTTTCGGAATATAAAAAATAACCAAAACCTTTTCTCAATGGGTTAGGATTGTAGGCAGTGAAAATTATAGTTGCTTTAAAACGAGACATCTCCCAGCTCTAGAAGGCCTTTCGTTGGAAAGTTATAGAACTTACCAGAGAAGGCCTAAATGTTCATTGGTAGCTCAAAGCTACAGAAATAAGGAGAAAACTAATTTTGTCTCTTGTTAATTCTATAACTTTGCAACAAAAGGTCTTCTAGAGCAGGGAGATGTCTTATTTTAAAGGGGCTATAATTTTCACGGGCTACAATCCTAATCCATTAAGAAAAACGCCCAAAATCCTGTTAAAAACCGAAAAATCTTCCTTACAAAATTGAAGCACCCGGAGTTGACATTTTTGTTGACGGAGTTGGAGTTACAGTTGAAAAATTTTGAGCGGAGTTGGAGCTGTAGTTGCATCGAAAATTTGAAAACGGCGTTGGAGTTGAAGTTGAAAGTCAGCTGAGTTGCTCACCCCTGGTAATACGAGTTTTACCGGAAGAGGTCTGCCGGAAAAAGCTCTTCGAAAAAATCTACTTTCTACATGGATAATCGTTCAACGAGCTGCTCTTTCCAATGGTGAAAATCGCATGTCTCTAGGTCTTTTCGTTCCGAAGTTATAAGCGTTTTGTTTACTCATCTTATTTTCAGAAATATGTCTTTTTCTTCTGTGTGCTTGTGAGTCTTTTCGCGAAAGAAATCTCTTCGGAACTTTGAAGCTGGGCTTCTGGCGATTCTGACAAGATGCATATATTGGGTCTACCATCTCTACACAAATCTGTGTTAGATCTGCAAATTTCGGTTAGAGTTTTTGACTCAAATACGTTTTGGCCTACGCGAGAATTTGGTTTTTGGATTTAAGGACTTGCGAACACCATCTCTAGAACCAGTTTTTCATAAGGAATCTGAAAATATTAGTTCCAGAGTTATATGGCTAAGGCGAAAAAAGTTATGGCGCTTTTCCTGAAAACAAAAAAGGTTGAGGTTTTTGCAAATTTCTCCGTGATCGGAGTTTTTCTCCCTGAAGATGCAGTCCAATAGAAGTGAAAACGTGATATTCGTTATCAGCTCGACAAGATGAATCAGAATATGTACGATTAAGTCAAAAAAGGTTTGCTTGAAGTTTGAATTACGAGCATCTTACATACCAGGCCTTATCGCAAAAGCACAACCCTCAAAAGTGGTTAATCGGACCGTATACGAAGAAAATCGTTGCTGTTATGCACATGTGAATTCGAAGATGTGGTCGCTGTACAATATGACAAACACATTATCGAATATCATTCTTATTTTCGCTATTTAAGATACGAAGTTACATCTCGTCTTTCGCGGCGACTAGTCCTGTATCAGTGATGTCAAACTGTTTTCAAACGAGCCTCTATGCTAGTACATTTGTTTAGGCGATGTGAACATATCGATATTAAATTAAGACGAACAACATTTTTGGATTCATATATCTCTTGTTCGTTTCGGCTTTCCCAATCTTTTTCTATTCATGTGTAGACAACTGATTTATTCAAAAATATCCTTTTGTTTCATAATTTCTCCAATACAGTAGAGATGGGCTTTTATTTTGACGGAGCTACTTCATAATTTAAAAATGCTCCATAAAATGTTAGCTTTTCTGGGCCTTGTAATTTCAAAATAACTTGATATTTCGAATCCGAATGTTGTACAATTTTGTCGTCCTCTGATGTTATTTCGGTTTCTATTTCATTCACGACACGATAAATATGAGGAATAAATGCCGAATAAGTGTTTTCCCAATATATAGTAAAAGGTCGACGTTGTTTCGTATATTCTGTTTCGATTGTCATTGTCAAATTACCAACATTGTACGACCAGAAAATGTTAACTGATACACACTTTAAAAGCT